GGGAAAGACGTGTCCAGAAAGAACAAGGCTTTGCTGACAGACATTTCTGCCAAAAAAAACCCAGCACTGCTGCTAGGTTTTGTTTGTGAGCTTTGAATGGCTGAGATTGCTAATCAGATTCTCAGAATTGGGATCATCAAATTACTTTACTTTTATCAACTTAAGATAACAGAATATTTTGAAAAGCACACATGAACTCTCTAGCTCTCTGATTCAAACGAAAAAACCCAAAAACCCCCATGAACCAAATTGCCAGGAAAGATATAAGAATGAGCTCTTCAAAATTACCTGCTTGACTGAGAAACACCAGTTTCCTTACCAGCAGTCAGAAGATCTGTGCCAAGTTGCTTTGGCCCTTTCAAAACTCCTGCCCTGTTTATGTTAACTTTCGCACTAATTGAATTTTGCCCTCCTACGCTCATTGCCATGCACTTCCAACACCCAAATTGTTTCGTATCGCTTCAGTGGTTTCCAGTCAGTAAGAAGCGTTTACCAGACCAAAACCATGCATTTTTAGTGCTGATTAGTTATATAAGCTCAGTTATTCATACACTAACAGCATCACTTTAACGAATTTAAGTAAGCTTATCCAAGAGGAAAAACACCTGACTCTTCCTCAGCATTTATTATATTTAATAGCTTGTGCCAACTCTTTTAGAAGATGCAGGTATTGACTTGTTTCTGGTCGTACTGAAGATTTGCCAGTAGATGGCAAGCTTCACTGCAAAGACTTTTACTTCCCAACATCTCATCTGCATCAAAATGATTTAACCATGGGGTAAAATGCTTTGCACTAATTCCTTTCGTAATTAGATTAATGTAACGGTGTTTATAAAGAGGTTGATAATTACCTCAAGTGCCAGTCAGTGTAAATCCAAAATGATCGGCGTTTTGTTTCCATTTTTCTAATGTTACATACAAATTTTAAGATTCTCTGTCAGAACAAGTCACTGCTGAAGTGACCTTAATTGCTTGAGAATGAAAACCACTCCTCTGCATATCCGAGCTAGAACACAAGGCCTTTTCAGGTCATCCCTCTGCAACCTTACCAAAAATCAAGCCCCCCAAGACACGGAAACATTTCCGCCCTCTTTCTGCAAATGTAGTAGAGAATATTCTCTAACCACGAGCTCAGACTGAGCCAGCCTTTGCATCAGACACCACCGTACTCTGCCACATCACATCGCAGAGCATGGGGGAGTTCAGCTTCCACACACTATGATCTTCTTCCTCTCTGACTTCCTCATAGCTCTCAATAGCTCCGTAGGTTCCCAAATCCATCCTTTCATATCATGCCAAAGCAGCAGGGAAACTGAGTTTCCATGAGGCAGGAAGGGAGGTAGGATAAATAACTTGTCTCATATAGGTGGAAAATGGTGCTCTAACTAGGAGTCTAGGATCCAAAGATTTTCTGAAGTACTCACATCATTCAGGAACATGACTTTTCTTAAAAAAAAAAGGGAATGTCCTGGTGAACTGCATATCATTTGGTAACCACAGTATGATAACTGCACACCCTTTGATAATCACCTTTTTGAGATGAAGTTTTACTGCTAGGGCAAAACTACCGTATAGCACCCCTAACAAAAACTCTTGGTCCTAGCCTTTAAACCACAAGTAAGCTAAAACTCTACAGTGATTACATCTCTGCTAAGACCTTCAGAACTTTGTGTTCCTTGAGAACTATACAAATAATAAAAAACATGGCACAGCACATTAGAATGAAGGTAAAACTCCAAAAATTTTATTGCTTGGCTGTAAACTTGTAGTACAAATCAGACAAAAGCATCCTCTAGGGAGTATTGGATTTATTGAATTGTCTGTTGGCAATTTCTGCATAAGAAATTTGTTTTATAAAAGCCAGAGGAGTTGAAATTAAGATACTAGTTAAAAAAAAATGCAGGAAAGGTTTTGTGTTTCATGTTTTTCCCATTGTGGTGTCACCTTGGAGACAAATTGGTTGCCTTCACTACAGACTGTGCTTTTAGGGCTCTCTTTCCTCTTCTCTCATTTTCCATCCACTATTACTGCCTCAGAGAGCTATGCAGCTTTTTAACCAGTGCTCAAAGCTAGCATGTTGCTATCAAAACTGCAGACTGGCAAGTGCTTCAGTTTCTCTCACACACAGTCACTACAACAAATTGCATGCAAATTATCTCTGGAAAAGCAGTAATAATTAACTACAATGCTTCTTGTGTCACAGTGGTCCTACTTAAGAAGCACTTGAATGATTGACCTCACCTCTTGTAGCTTACACAGTACAACAGATAGATAACATTATAACTTAATCATAGTTAATTTCTTCAGATGTGCAACATTTCTTCAAACATGCACTTTTAATGAATTTTAAGTAGATAAACAGACTGAAAGGAAAGCTCTTGTAAGTTGTATAATCCCAATAAAAATGTGGGATGCAAAAGTTCCTAAGCAATGCAGTTCTGCTTATTTTAACTGTAATTTATAGATTGCAGTAAGTTCCTTATTATTCAGGCTAAAGGAAAGAAACTAAATGCGTGGGTAATATAAAAAATTATGTAAACTAGGACATCAGAACATGCATGAGGGTGTGGTGAGGAGGACAAAGGTCTGTGATACTGCTGACTGTGGAGCGAGTCAGTACACCACGGCCAATGTTTTGAATTTTGCATTCTGTGAGCTGAGGGAACTGATGTCGCATTTGGAGGAAGTATCTGCTCCCAGTGCAACATTGAATGTTAACAGGTTTGGGAATGGTCATTTTAAGGCAGACTAAATTAGAAGTACTATTTTTGTCCTATTTTCCTTCAAAGAACAGGAGGTAAAGCTGTGGTTCTCCTCCTGCTAATCAATGTTTAGCTTGCTTTCTTAATCAGGTCATCTCAGCCTGCATTAAATAATCTTTACCAAGAAAAGACCATACCTTTTCTAGATATCTCTCCTTTGCATCTCTGGTATATATGAGCATGACACCAGCTAAAAACAGTTCAAACAAAAACATTTCTCAGATTTTACTTATACATGCAACACCCCAAAAGAAACAATCAGGAAGCTATTTCTATGTAATCCTTAAGACCACTGTCACTTTGTTTTAAATCATGATGTCTCTGTTACTATTGATGTTACTACATAAATCTCTATTCCACTTGTTCAAACAAGTATTAATTAGGTATTTGACTCAGTAAATGTACCTATTCATGAGCATCAAGTTCATTCAGACTGGTGCTTTTTATTCTCAGAGGCACTGCTGCTCCTGTGTACACCTGAAGTCAGAAGGTGCAACAGTGAAGCACAAATAACTTGCCCAGCCTCCCCGTTATTGTCATAGTGTCATATCTGCAAAAGATGTCCTTCTAAGCTGGTAAAGCCTTCTGAAGCTTGCTTCCTCCACGTCCCCTTCCTGGGAAACAAAACCAATTAAATAGTATTATGTATTAAAACACACATTATGAAAATGCACCCTCAGCAGTCAGTTTGTATTCTCTGACAACCCCCAGTGGCTGTTTGTCACCCTCAGATGACCAGCCCTAGCCTCTCACTTTCCCAGCCAGCTGGGGATCTATCCCAGGACTCCATCAGCATTAGCCTATCCCCAGTTATTGATTAGCATCTCTTCATGCTGCTTGTATTTCAGTGCCCCGTCTCCTTCTCTATATTGTGTACACCCTGTTGAATCTCAGTTCCAAGAACCAGGAAGAAATTAGAAACTGGTGGTAGATAGGTCTGAATTTCTCTGAGAAGTTCAGCTCATCCACAACACCCTGTTTACACAAACATACACTGTTCTGCAATTCATTTTCAAGTAACTGCTGTAGAAGACACATACCCTTCATATTTCCAAATGGGAGTCCAGAATAAAAGCGTAAACTGAAAGAAGAAAATGGGATGTTTACAGGACTAATGCAACTTTCATTCTCCAGCACACTAATCTTTCCCTTCTGAATCACGACCTTCTGTCCAAACGGAACATTCAGCTTTATTTCATAGATTCTTGGCCAAGATATGATTGCTTTTTCCCCCTTCTGTGATACAGATTTTTTTTTCCTCTAGCAATATGCAAAATATTTGTTTACAGCTTTACCCTCATATTTTGAGGAATGCCACAGTGTAATCACATTAGAAGTGTTATGGTATTCAGATGGTCACTGTACAGTAGAGGATTTCTTGTAACATGGTAAAAATCAGTTGCAAAAGAAAAAATTGTACTGGATAGAACTCTTCGTATTATACTCCAGATCAGATTTCCCAATTTGATCAGGAGTAATTAAAATACTATACATGCATTTGGCTTTTTAGGTCATTATTTATATAGTCCCTGTCTCTAGGTGGTTTATGTCAGTAAATAACTACTTGCCTTTCTTCTCTCCATTAATCACTGACTACGACGTTTATTCTGCCATTGTTTCATTTTACTAGCACAGTACTTGGAGGCAGCTGCAGGATTTCTTCCAGTAGCCTCTCTTCAGCATTCAAAAGTTTGACCTTTAGACCAAGATAGAGGTCTAGAGCAAGCACCCCATTTGCAATCTTCCCTTTGGGTCTCACCATCTCCACAGCCTTCAGTCAGTTGTATTAGTGAGTAACAAAACTCCCAAACGCTGCAGGATGTGTGCTGCTGATTAATATCGTTTCCACTGACCCATACCAACACAACAGCAAGTCGTGACAGAAGCCACATATTATGAGATTAATTTAGTGATTAATAGAACCCCATTGCACTCTTCACCTATGTTTATGCTGTACGTGGGAGACCTGATTAAAGCAGACATAAAAGTACACAAGCTTCAGTCTAGCTCACTTGATATTGCTGGCAGTGAAGCTGTGATTGCAGAGGATTCAGCCCAGGTCAACAGAGCTACCTCAAGCACTCCGTATTTGGCACCTTGCTGCTGTTACTTAGTATGCCTAACACCGAATTTAAGGTAGCAGGTATATACCTACATATGTATGCTGTGCTTATCTGAATACAGCCATTAATTTTCTTATGTAGATAATTAATCACGATTTAAAAAAATACACAGTTTCATGGCAAAATTCTTGTTTTCTTTTACTAGAAAGAACATCCTTCGCTACTTTCACTGCTTTAACTCTATCAGTGTTTCTCAGTTGTGGGTTATGAACAATGCTGGCTAACGGCTCGCTCCTCCTTGCATGGGAAGTGAGAAGTAGCTATTGTTATTGTCAGCCAGTCTTTACAGCAGCAAGGCAACTCCAAGTGGCCTTTAATTACTGCCAGGAGCTCAGTCAGGAACATGTTTACACCTTGTTCACCACGTCCTTCCGGCCTCAGAGGCTGGAAGGCTCTCAGAGGGCTATTTTGAATCTCGGTGTTTGGGAGATTCTTTGTGGTGGAAATGTTGTACAGCTGTCAAATTACCATTTATAATCAGGAAGTCAAAATCAAAGCGCATGATGGTTTGAACCACTTACTTGAGCTATAACTGCACCCGACTCATTTAGCTTTGTTGAACTCTAATACAAAAAACTTCCACCACAAAAGAATACAAAGTGGTATGAACTGAAAAATGTGGTTCAACTCCTTTTTCTAGTAAAAAAAAAATTGTCTTAAATATATCTAAATGCATTCCATATTGTTGGATATCTGTTGACAACCACCAATATTGTTGCAACTGTACTCTAAATAGTGTTAAGCAATCCTGACACTCCAGGCCATGGCTGGCAGAAGAGGTGAGAACAGGAAATTACAGCCTACTCACATTTTCATAAATGTTTTCATTTTACATTTATTAGTCTACTAATGTGTGTCACACAGTTACCAGCCCTATTTTCTTCTCAACAGCCAACAATTAGAGCTGTTGGTTTCGAAGCGCAGTTCTGTTAAGAGTTGCACTTCTTTCATGCTTGGTTACTCCCAGTGCTGTGGAAGTCCTCAGGATTTTTTGCGTTTCCTTTCCAGAGTCACTCTGCATGAGGAATGATTCCAGGTGCCTGTCAAACTCTTGCCAAAAGAACTCTATGTGCGTTGCTGGTCGTAAAGACAATACATGCCGTTGTGCAGATGCATCAGTGGACAGTGTGGAGGAACTCTGCAATAAAACCTCTGATCCTTGCTCCTCAAACCCCTGTCTTCAAAATGCTACCTGTTTAAGCTTTGCTGGAAACCTCAGCTTTACCTGTGAGTGCCCTGATGGGTATAATGGACTTAGCTGTGAAAGAGCCGTCAGCATGTGTGACACAAACCCTTGTGAGCATGGAGGCACCTGCCAAAACAGCCTCGCGGGGCCCACCTGCCTTTGTAGCGCAGGATACACAGGTACCCTCTGTGAAATGGATTTTGATGAATGCACTTCTGAACCGTGCCACAATGGAGCGGTATGCAGGGATGGGGTGGATGAATACTCCTGCTACTGCGTCCCAGGCTACCAAGGCAAGCACTGTGACCTGGAAGTAAATGAATGTGTGTCAGATCCATGCCTGAATGGAGCAACGTGTCTCAACCAGATAGGACAGTATGACTGCATCTGCTCACTCGGGTACACAGGTAAGCACTATTAAAATGACTTTTTCTTTGCATTGTGGACAACCATCATAATTCATGTTCCAAGTCCATCTTCCCCACCCACAAACTTATTTAGTCATATCTGTATTGCCACCTTGCCTTCGGCTTTGGCACCAGTGGCTGTTGGTGCATTATGGGTTACCTTATCACTATGAACTACTGACATCGGATAGAGCAGGATTAAAGAAGTCTCACATTTACCAAAAACTACAGAGCAGTTTCATGAATATCAAGCTATGTCACAGGATTAGGTTAATTTTCTTTTAAAAGAAACATTCTCAAAATGCTTGTCCTCGGAGTGGTATACATATTTTTTTTCCTCAGACAAAACCTATATTTGACAGGGTTAAAAGTTAGATCTAATTATGCTTGCTTGATCTGCTAATCACGACAAACTGTACTCTTAAACCTAGACATTTCACGTTAACTTCCTCTCCTCTGCCCTTCCCAGAAACAGAGGACTCATTTGCAACTAGAACATTATGTAAATTCAGTAGAAAGAAAAGTATTATAAGGTTCCCAAACTGCCCATTTTTTGATAATCCCATTTTATGTGGCTCCATTTTTAAGGTACGGGTGTGATTTTTCTTGCCTCCTTCCTCTACTGGAGAACATACAATCCTTGCGGGAGACAGCTTCCTTCAAATTTCAAAGCTGTATTCAGGGGTAGGACTGCAAGAGGTAGCACACTGAATCATTAGAAGGAGAAAAAGGGAGGCATTTTAGTGATAGATTGCCAGTCAGGTAAGCAAACACAAAGGAAAAAAAAAAAGTCATACAGCAAAAGGGGGAAAAAAACAGCTATTGCTTCAAGAGATTCAAATGAATAAGAAATAAGAGATGTGGTTTACAGCTCCATCCCCAAATCCCCACGCAAGAGGGGAAGTCAGAGGTAAAAAGCAGCTTTCCCATGTCTGACACAGCACTCATTGGAAGCCAGCCCTCGGTTAATATCCCTCATGAGCATGGAGAATGTTATTTGAAGGAAGCTTGTTACCTTCCTGCCACCCTGCTGCTGCCAGCGGGTGTCTGAGCCCGGGCCAGCCGAGGAGAAAACTGCACAACCCAGGGTAAGCCAAAGAGCAGAAGGAAGGAAAAACCTATTAACAACCAGCATGGTTACTCTGCAATGATCAGACTGAGCCCAGACCTCCTGTTGTATTCAGGAAACCGTATTTGTTTAACTGGCACTGTTAGTGGGGTCCAGGCCTGGATCCATAGCCCGGGAACTCGGTTTGAAAGAGACAGAATATACACCTTAGAGACAAAGAAGGAGAAAACATAATAAAATAGTAAAGCCCAAACAAAAAGAAATGAAGATTTAGATCAACACAAACCGCTGGACGAAAGTCACTCTGCTGGAGTCACTCCAGTTTCATCACAAAATTCTGCTGTTCCAGGCTGATGCTCTCTGCTCTCACCAAAAATCAAGTAATGTCACCAAGTGCTCCACACTTCACACAATCAGAGCTAAGAAACAAGGAGAGAACGAGAGAAGGAGAAGAGGTCTAAAATACAAAGTAGAAGAGGCTGTGGTGTTTTAACATACAGCCCCGACACCGCTTCCAGCAGCAAAGCAACTAATCCTAATAATTCTATAGAGGAGTAGCGGACTGTTCCTTCAGTAGTAAAACACCAACTTTTAAAGGCTACTTAACAAAATGATTTATCAGAAGCACTCTTTGTTGTTGTTTTCTGCACCGCGCTGCGAGTTGTGCTAAATGCACAAGCCAGAGAGATTACTGGATGAAAGCCCTGAGATGTCCCCAGTGCTAATAAAACCCCTCATTTACTCTGTCAGGGGATCTTGCCAACTATTATTATCCTGGCCTGACACCATGAATTACTGTGGGAAGTCATCCGGCCTCATCTCATTTCCCTAAGATGTTAAAAAGGTTATATCTCTTGATATGTAGGTAAAGAACGTACAGTAAATCTACAGCAGTAATGTTAACCAAATGCTTGAGTTACTGGATGCAGTTGCTACTTGTTTCATGGACTATGACTGCTATTTTGTATGATTGGTATGCTGCAGCACTTCTTAAAATAGCTGAGAAATGTCACACATAATTCTTGCACAAATGGAAGAGGTTAGAATGCACCAAGAGCCAAAGACTGCAAAATTTAGCATGAAATCTGCAGTTTCCATGATAATGCTCTGCATGTGTGAAATTATTCACAAGACATGTGTCACACAGCTGTGAAATAATGAAGCTCAATTGGTCTGTTGAAGTTTTGCTGGCTACCTTAATCAAATGCATTTTTTCCTCCATTGCACTAATTGCACTTGCTTTTAATTCACCCCAACTGAGCATGGTATAAGAGCCTGTTATTATCCACAGCTAGGTACGTTAATTACCTTGCTGGACACAGCTGAAGCCAGTCCTCTGCTGCCAGGGAACATTTTAGTGTTAACTGTCAGGGGTGCGTGGCAGTTCCAAAAACCAGTCTTAGCCCAAGACAAGAGGAGGAGAAAGTGTTTCAGTGACAGATGCAATAGGTACAATGGGCTAGATTCATTCTTGGTGCAATACCTTTTACTGTGGTGTAACCACAGCTGGGATGAACTCTGTACGCTGTGACGTGAGATGAGAGGAGCCCAGCAGCACTGGCCAGATTTCAAATGGTTTTCAACATAAAGATTAGCAGAGGGCACATACATGCAAAGAGTGCTTGTCGCAGTTAATAAATTCCTGGCACCAAAACCTTTGGCTGGACTTAGCGCCGCTGTTCTCTGATTCTGTCTGGTTAGAGCAGTGTTGTAAGATCCGTAACAACTTACGTCCGTGCATGCACGCAGGTAACTGTATGCAAAAAGGACAAGCCTCGCTCCAAGAAACTGAACTCTTCCCTCTGTCTTATTTTTTTATGAGCTCTCTTCCTGCCCTTTCAAAGCTGGTGCCTAGAAAATAGCTCTCTGTCACTCTCCATCCAAATGATGGCACGTAAGATTACTATACCCAGATTGTGGAACTGGGAACGGTCATCTGTACCTGCTGTGCTAGCGCACAGCACTGCAGCGCAGAAGAGCAGAAAGGGTGACTTGGACACCAGTTTCCAGCCATACTAAGCAACACGCAGGTCCACCTGGAACTACACTGAGCCTGCAAACCTCTAGCATCCTTGACCAGAAGGTGCTTTACAATATATCTGTAGGCAGGCAAGTCTGAAAACATTGGCTGTATCTCTTTCATCCTTGCCTGCATTTACTTTTTATTGACTGGGGCTGTACAAAGAAGCGCACAGTAGGACTCGTTTGAAAAGCAAGCAGTGTAAGAAATAACCTTCGTTCTTGAAAGAAACCACAAAAGTTATAAATATCACTTATATCCACCTTCCCACTCTTTCAATTCAAACCACTTGTGCGGTTTGGTATCTGCTACTCTGCCTGCTCTAGGCCAGGATGCCTTTGCTCTTGGTGCTGTAGCCCCATGCAATAACTGTGGTAGGGCTTGTTGGTGCTTTCTTTCCTTTCTGGCATATGATATTTGGCATACAGCATATTTATGACAGAATGTTAGACTGAGGTGCAAATGCAGATCTAATCTATTCATCTCTCTTCTTCACATACAAGAAAGCCTGACAGAAGATTCAGTAGAGGCTAGGAAGGAACTCCCCCCCGTTTGCACAGCATGTCGCATTGGCTGGATGCATTATACAGAGAGAAGTTTTCTTCTGAGGCAACATTGCCGAAGGCAGGTTACTGGGCTTGATAGATTAAAGACATGAACCAAAACAACAACGCTATGTTCTCATGTTAATCGTCAGGCTGTTCTCAGGCCTGTAGTTTTAAATTTGGCTGAATGGAGGATCAGTTGAACAGGGCTTGTTTTGTCACATGATTTTTAGTGTTCGCAGTAAGCTGTTAACAAGCTCTGGCAGATTTACGGTCACTAGACATACTTCTGCAAACACATTGTTTACAATTACAGTGAATTCACAGGGCAATGACCACCGAGGGATTGCTCACTATATCTGGATGTAATGCACATTACCATAAAGGCATACGAGAGCGTTCCTGTGCTTGCCTAGCTGGTCAGTGAACCTGAAAACTGGAGGCACGGCACCGGCGACCTCACCCATCCAGTGTCCTATGCGTGGTCTCAAGGAAGTATAAAAACATATTCTCTAAAACTTACAGCAGTACTATTTCTTAAGTACTGGAAAGATGAATTTGCACTTTAATGCTTAAATACAATGAAAAATAGTTATAAGCTAACATCCTCAAATTTTGTTTTGGCGTTTTAAGATATTTCGAGGTATTTATCCATAATACGGATTATTTTTTTTTAAACAAAGATGCTACATCCAAAAGTGTCCAAATAAATTAGTAATCAAGTAACAGTGCTAAATATTAGCAATCTCAGTGTTTCAAGAAAGATGTTCCAAATTAGAATATACAAATTTCACAGTGGCACAGAGCTGGCAAAAACAGCATAAAGAAAGAATTAGAGGTGAGCTCCTAAATAAATTGCTAATACCCATGATCAAAACGTGTCTGTTCCCACCATTTGAAAGCCTGACCCATCATCTTGTACTGGAAACTTCACCTGTCCAAAAAAATGGAACCCATTCTCAGGGCTGCAGGTTCTCTTTCAATTAGGAAATTCCCCTGAAAACTATTTTTAATACTACTGGTACTTTGGTAAGCCAAATAAAAGATAGGAAAGTCCATTTAAAAGCAGCTTCTTCATTATAATTTGCCATTTTGCATCTGTTTTGTGGCTGATACTGTAGCTGTTAAAACGAATTTACTTGGCAGCTGAAAATTATCTTAAAAAAATATCACTCTATTACTCAAAATACTAAACAAGTGCATAAGCATACAAAACCCTGAAATAATCAAACTAGGAGCTGCAAGGCATTAATTATGAAATTTTCTTAGTGTCTCCTGGACTGTGCTAGAGGTAAGAAAAAGGAGTGTATATTTAACCTGCCAATTATCACAAATAGCTGTAAACTGGTACTAGAACTGATTTAGTTCCATCAATTATCTCTGAAGAGCAGCTCCAAAGTTCTGACCTGTTACAAACACGGCATTATAGACTGATTTATGTACACATTGCTAAATCTTAAAAAAAAATAAAATAAAACACAGCTAAACAGACATCTTCCCAATGAATTCAATTAACTGTGCAGCTTTAAATTGACTCTTCTGAGGTCATTAAATTACTAGTCACTTCTGTATTATATAAATAGGATAGTAGCATGACTTGAATAATTTGAAAATTAATTTGTTCTGTTTCCATGTTCAAGCTAACATAAAAACTTATTATTCTACCTGTTCTTGTGAATAACAGTCGGTTTGTTCTTTTGTAAATTCTCCTGAGCCTTTAAAAAACCGATCTTGCAGTGCATATTGAGGAGGAAATGCCTTTTGAAAACAGGCAAGTCCTTAAAAAAAAAAAACCCACAAAATTGTGAATATTTTACTTAAAACAGTCCTTGCTTAAATCTCCAAAACTAGCTATCTCCTAAGTTTGGGGGTTGCTTGCTTTCTTTGCTTCTGAAGGTAGAAACTGTGAGCTGGAAATAGATGAGTGCTTGTCAGCGCCGTGCCTGAACGGTGCGACCTGCCGCGATTCCCTGGGGAGCTTCGCCTGCTCCTGCGCACCAGGCTTCCTCGGCGACCTCTGCGAAACCAACGTCGACGAGTGCATCAGCCAGCCGTGCCTCAACGGGGGACAGTGCACGGATGATGCCAATGGGTAGGTCTTCTACAGCTGCGTAACGCTAATGTGAGGTGCTATTAGCTCCTCTGTTTGCAGACAGGAACACTACGAGAGCCTGCACTGCAAGGTAGCTGATTGCATTGCAAACTGTGGATTTCACTCCTTGATCCTGCACTGATTTCAGTTTAAATGTGAAAAGGGATTAAAGAATGCAAGTCTGGAGTCAAAGACAACAGGACAACAACATATTTATGGCAAAGACTGACCAAGAAAGTACATTTTTCACATTTGTACTTTCACTTTAAATATTTACAAGATGTTGTTTGTCTGGCCCTGAGGATTGTCATTTAGAGATGAATTCTGTTTCTGAGGCTCATCACACATTAGCTTCTAAGAGAGATGTGCGAGTGTATAAAATTGACTTTGCCAACAGCACCTGCCCACACCGACAGACAGAAGCATTAGAAAAGAGAGGCAGAGGAGAACTGTAATAATAGTAACCATAGTAATAGGTATCATTAGGAAATGTGTCAGGAACTTTACAGGCATACAGGACAACAACTCCTCAGTCGAAACAACCTGCAGTCCATAGACAAAGGAAAAAAAAAACAACATAGAATAAAAGGCAACAGAAAAGTGAGCTTCTCCACCTGCTGTTAATGGCCCTACACAAAGGTTCAGGTGCAGTCCAGGCAGCCAGACCTCTGGCATTCATTCACCGATACTGGCTTTGCATACTCAGCGTGAGATTCCCAAACCAAAAATACGAATGTATAAGCTCAGTCTGAAAGTTCCTAAGTGTATTCATGCAGGCGCTCTTCTCACCAGTATAAGATTTGTCCTCTATTGTGTATTTTCCAGTTTTTATAAAGCAGCTTTGAAGGTTTCAGTGCCCCCAAAATCAGTCCAAAAGTCATGTCAGCAAAAGGCATGCTTGCCTTGAATGAGAGAGGAAAGAGACCATGTTCTGGGACTGAGCTTTTGTACAGTGCGGTGACATGGCGCCAACCTTGTGGAGCTCCTTTTCAGCAAAGCTGAATGACTCTGAACAGGACAAAGCAATTTACTGTTTTCCAGTGTAGCTAAAGCATGACAGCAGGGAGAGAGGGAGGTCACCTTGCACTTGACTAGTTCACAGCAGACCCACTTAGTAACCTACACACCCTTTGAGGATACACGCATGAGGTGAGCAACTGGGATGCTCATTCGGGCCAGACTTAATCCTACTCATTTTTCTCCTGGCTTTTAAAGCTGAGGTACACGTAAGAGCAACTTTAATTGGCTTGTAATACTGCAGGATATCTGGAGAACAACTGGAGATTTTCCCACATTTGTTATACGATGAAAAGGATTGGACAAGAAAGCAATTCAAAACAGAAGGGTGTCTAGCAATGTCCTTCCTTTTCTGTATTTTTTGGGTTAAAGGAAGAATTGCAGTCTTTAAACAGTAGTTTTGCTTTTCTGACTAATGCTACAGTACAGCTGAGGCTTTTGTGTGCGCCACCAGCTCTGACAGAAATGTGTGAGGTGAAAGCTTTAGCATTTAAAGCTGTGAATACAAACACCAAACCAAATTCCCCCCCAAATTTCAGACACATTCTTCCAGTGAGGCTTCATGAATGCAACAAAGTAGAACTTGATCTCTTAAAAAAACAGTTTCACATTACTGCACATTTCTTATTTAAATTCAACAATTTACAGAGGTTCCTTATTTGGACTACAAAACCTGGTGTGCACAGGCACAGAGGATACCTCCAAGAATTTTTTTCCACAGGAGATATGCTTCAATGCTCTTTTGATTGCATAGCAAAGAATATTTGCATGTATTGCTTTCTGCATATTGTGAGAATATCAAACAAAAAGCCCCCAAAAAATGTTAGGTAGAGTCTCTAAGAGCATCACTCTTTACAGAAGAAGCCGCCTGCTTGCTCAGTCACAGCCTGCCCACAAGCAGGGCACCCTCCAGATCCCTGCGCGTCAACAGCAACACCAAACACTTAAAGATACTCGAGAAAAAAGGCACATGGATGGGGCTTCACATTGAGTAGTGAGTTGTGAATATTCCTCAATGTGCCGTGATTCTGGACTAAAGGGGAAAAGGAGCATGGACTAAGGCAGAAAAAAATTCTTTCACCACAAAGCTGAACAGCACCAAACTGAAGGCACAAGGAGGAAAGGTGTGAAAAATACAGCAGAAGAAAGAGAAGTCTGTTTTGAGAACATACCTCAGTATGAAAATTATTTTTTCTGATTCACATCTTCCTCATTACTTTTTATATCCTAAATTCAAGTGCCACCTAGTCTAAGTCATCTCTGATTTTGATTTAAGAATAATCCTTACACTAGTAATAAACTGGCCCGCCAGAGGTTTCTGCTTAGGTACACTTAAATAGCATAGTAAAAAGTTTACCCTTTTTGCTTTGTTAGATGGCGGGAGCCAGTTATTCTCTGATCTTCCATTACGTTCAACAATTTTGCATTCTCTCCATATATTTACTCCATGTCTAAGACTTAAATATTAAGTACAGAAATTCTCAAATGAGCATACTTACCTCTTATTCAGCAAGATTCCCCATTATTTCAATTGTACAATAACCAGTGTGTCATTTTTTTGTAAAATTAAATAAGACTAAATTTTTGTTTCTGATAATTATTATTGGACAAAGATCATCCACGCATGCATAGTTATCAACATAGTTATCTTGCAAAGGCCTGTCTTTTCTTATGACACATGCAAGTTGACCTTACACCTTATGACCTAAGCACAGGAGTTATCTATTTTACGATAATTAGCTCACCAGCAAAAAAGCCACAAACAAGAAAACCCAGATGTCACTGATTATATGCATATTATTCATTTTTATATATTAGTTTGTTTACTTCTAAACCCGTTAACAGTGACATTGCTATCAAAAAGAAGCTCATATTACTGATATTATTGGAACTATGCAAGCAATTGACATTTTTGTTCTAACCTAACAATAAAATACGGGTTTTCATCAAAGAGAAAACATCACTTAGTCGAGGAACAGCAATCGCCTTATTATTTGTCGATTCAATTTCTGCCAGTGCAAGAGAAAGGAATACTAACACATTTACTGCCTCTCCAGTTTCCATTTTGTGAGTAAAGATAAGCCTACAAAAATTGCATTGGAAATGACAGAAACCTTTCCCCCCCCCCCAATTAAAAAAAAGCAGGAAAAAAAACAACAATAATTTTTAGCAGAAA